CGCGGCGGGGCGGGGGCCTGGGTGTGCCGGGCGGGGCGGGGGAAGCCCGGGCGCCTCTCCAGAGCGCACGCGAGTGCACACCCGACACGTGTGCTCGCGCTCACACCCGCCCGTGCTCCTCGGGCCAGCTCACACGCGTGCACACTCACCCGAGAACTTGGCGTGCACCTCCGCGAGAGGCGCCCGGTGTTCCCCAGCTCCTCCCGGGAGACCCAGGCCCCCGCCCCGCCGCGCAGCCCTGGCGCCTCCCGCTGCCCCGCCTCTCGCCTTCTCTGGCTCCCTGGGCTCCAGGGCCCGACCACCCGGCCTAGTTGCCATAGCGACGCTGGTTCTCACGCACACCCTCAACCCTCAAAGCACCCGAGGGGGAAGGGAAGAGGGCAGCTGTCCTACCCCTGGGTGTCCGTGGGCGTGGCTTAGAGATCCGCAGTGACCTAGGGACCCGCCAGGGAGGGAGGGACCTGCCTGCCGCTCCAGCTGCGCTGGGGAAACCTCATTCGAAGGAGACTGATTTCCCCACGCCGGCTTCCTTCTAGTAACCCAAACCAGCCCCTAGGACCTAGTCTCTTTACCTCCTGCCACCCTCTGCCATCTCCAGTTCTGTCCCTCAAGCGGGGAAGACCTCAGGGCTTGAACCTGCAGTCAGGAAGAGTCTGCACAGCATTGCTTCCCGCCTCACCCCACCGCCTCACCCCAGTAGGCGTTTTTTTGTTTTTTTTTTTTACTATTTGACTGAGTCTAGAGAGGCAGCTCAGGTTGGCCTTGAACTCCTGACCTCCTGCCTCACTGGGGTTACAGACTGGTGCTACCTCTTGTGTCCTAAACTTGCCTCCTGGAAGACCAAGTCCTCGTAGAGGCCCTTCAAACCAGGAACTCCCTGCCCACCTCAGGCCACCAACAAGCAACCTGCGATTTCAGAGGTCACCTCCTGCTCTAGCTCTCTGGGCCTTTAGGTTCTCTGTTCCTGAGAACTGTTCATTCCAGGTCATTCCAAGTCACCTGTCCCTAGCACAACCACCTTCCTTCCCCTTTAGCTTTAGTCGCTTTAGCCCCAGACTCAGCTCTGATGACAGTTGTGTCTGCCCGTTGACGTCCTGTCTCCCATCAGCTCTGGAGTTGCCGCAGTGAAAATGGGCTGATTCATCTCTGAGTCCCAAGTGATCCAGACTGGGCCTGACATTAAGTCAGCCTCACTAAATACTGGGACTCAATAGAGAAATTCTGCTGCCCAAAAGCTTAACACTGACTAACTGTCCCCTTGAAGACAGCCGAGGACTGGAGACTCTGGTACATTACAGTGTGTGCTTGGCGTGCAACAGTTGATCCCCAGCACCAAATAAAGAAGATAATATGGTAAATGCTACCTGTAAATGTTATGTGTTCATATTTTAAAACTTTTTAAAGGAGTACTATAAAGTCAAATTATATAACACACCACCCGTCACCTATCAAATGCCGGCACACTAATACTATGGGTAAGAAAGTCAGTGACTCTTCTGCTGCAGCTGCTCTGACAATGGCTGCCAAGATCACAAACACACATACTCCTTGACCGGAAGTCCCAGCTCTCTGATCTTATCCTATGCATATACCAGGCGATAAGCAAAATAATAGAAGTTGGAGACTCTTCCCTACAGCTTCTGAAAAGGAAACAAATGAAATGTTCATGCAGGAGAAACTGGTCAATTAGCTATGACATAATTTCCCATATCAAAATAGTATGCAGCCATGAAAAAGGAGGCAATAAATAGATAGGTAGATAGATAGATGATAGATAGATAGATAGATAGATAGATAGATAGATAGATAGATAGATAGATAGATAGATCTATCACACACACACACAGAGATTCATCTTCACAATCTCATTCCTTAAACCGAGATGCAGAGTCAGAGCCACACACGTGGAAAACGCTGCCATTTGATGAGGAAAGACCTTACACATGTTTAATTGTGCATGTATTATTTCCAGAGGACTGCACAAGAAAATGGTAGCTATGGTGACTGCAGGAGAATGAGGCTGCTGTGGAGCAGGAAAGGGCAAGCATAGGAAAGACTCAGTCTCCAACATGCAACTTTCCACATGTTTTTTCTTGTTGAGTCAGGGTCTCACCGTGTAGCACTGGCTGACCTGGAACTCACCATGTAGACCAGGCTGGCCTCCGTTATCTGCCTGCCTCTGCCGTCAAGCACTGGGATTATATGCCATCTGAATGCTTCTAAATTGTGCCACATGCATGTTACCTCTTTGAAGAGCATATACATGTGAGGAAGTGAGAAAATTCAAATGACAGTGGCGCATGCCACACGAGCCTGAGTTGGCTTCCAGGAGCCTGCATGGTCGAGGAAAGAGAGAATTCCTACAAGTTTCCCTTTGACCTCTACACATGGGCCATGGCCCATGATGGTACACATACACAAATCAATAAATACTAAAAAGTTTTAGATTTGTTCATTTGTGTATCCAAGACCAGACCCAGGGCCTTGTATAGACAAAGTGTGTAGTCTTCCACTGAGCTATAGCCACCAGCCTAAAGTGATAAGTTTCTCAAGCAGCCACGAGGGTTCTTTTGTAACTCTCCAGGGTAAAGAAGGAAGCCAGAAAACAGGCCTGCTGGCACATGCCTACATCCCAGTACTTGAGAGGCAGAGGCAGAAAGATTATCCATGAGTTCTAGGCCAGCTTGGTCTACATAGTGAGTTCCAGACCAGCCCAAACTATAGAACAAGGGGTAGGCGGTCAAGGGAGACACAGGGGCGGGCAGTAAGGGAACAGCGTGATCCGTGAGTCCCCCGCTGCTGTCTTCTCATAGTGCACAGCTTGGAACCATCCTAGCATGCCTTGCAAAGACTCCCCAAAGGCAGGAGCCCAGAGGAGCATGGCAGACAGTGATGAGCCTTACCGATTCAGAGTGGGAAAGGCATGGTCTCTGACACACTTATGTCCCATTACCCTGTCATTTCTTGAATGCCTTCTATGCAACAACCTCCAGCCTCACAGCCCTTTAGGGAGACAGACACACAGATGATTCCAGCAAGTGAGGTGGGCAGGAGGGTGAAGGATGGGCTCAGGGCTCCCTTCTTATGGGAAATGTGTCAACCTGCATTTCTAAGATGAACTGGATCTAGAGTGGAGCTGGGGCGGCTTGGGCAAGGTCTGAAAGCGTCTGGAAGGCAGTCAGGACCCTGCATGTCTCATGAACAGTATATATGGAGGGCAATCCTGTGATCCCAGCACTCAGGAGGCGAAGGCAGGAACCCAACCCTGAAGCCGGCCTGGGCTATGAAACACAATCCTATCTCAGAAAAAAACTAATCAATCAATTGAAAAGAACTTAGAATATAAAGAGTGGCCTGAAACCAGTGTGGCTAAAAGCTTGGAGATGGGAAATGGGATGAACAGGTAGACAGGTTGGCGGGGAAGCTCTCACACAGGAGGTCTTGTGTAGTACGTTGGGTCAGAATGGTTCTTGCTGAATGGTTGAAGCTGAGACTTAGGAGGCAGGAATCAGTCAGTGTAGCTTAACCAGAACAAAGTCTGTAGCAATCCACACATCGAATGAAAGGCTTGAACAGGAGGGAAACCTGGGGAGAGAGGTTTCTGCCTTGCCTTGCCCTCCTCCTTTCCCCTTCTGCCCCTTCTTCTTCATTCCCCCCCCCCCCCCGCCTTCTTTGAGACAGAATCTTGGTATACATCCCAGGCTGATCGGGATCCCTGATTCTCAGTTTCTCCTATGCTTGGTTTGCAGTTGTGTGCCACATCTACACAGATAAGCTTCCTATCAGAAATGGTGCCAGCAGATGCTCACCTGGGGACTGTCAGGTAAGAAGGAAGACCTAAGATAATTCTTGTGTTCCCGGTAGAACGTCTAGGGAAATCATGGAAGCACTAGTTGAAGTGGAGAGAGAGGAGCAGGCTTGGAGAAAGAGAATGGAGAGCTTCGTGTAGGGTTATTGCACTCGAGATGTTTTTCGACACGGAGACATAAAGCAGGAAGTTGGGTATAGGAGTCTGGAGCGCTGAGGAGAGGTCTGGGCTAGAAATATACATTTGTGAGTCATCAGCATATAGATGGTATTTAAAGCCCTGAGAATGGATGAGATCACCTAGGGAAAGGGAATATACATGAAAAGAGAAGGCCGAAAACTAGTGAGGGTGCCTCCATGCTGGGGTGAGGGACAGGGCACCCTACTGAGATGCAGAATGAAAAGGGAAGTAACCCCCAGGGGCAGACATCAGCAAAGGGGCGCTAGTGAGGAGAGTGGAGAGCAGAAGGCCCTTCAGGGGGACTGAGGGGCACAGGCAGCAGGTGCCTGCCAATCCTGTCGGTTGGTTTTCTCTGTCCCAAAGCAAAGTGCACCTGTGAGCTGTTTCTCGGGCTCCCACAAGGCAGAAATTGCCCATCCCTCCCTCCTTGCCTCCTTCCCTCCTTTCTTCCTTTTTCTCCCTCCCTCCCTCCCTCCTTCCCTCCCTTCCTCCCTCCCTTCTTCCTTTCTCTCCCTTCCTCCTTCCCTCCCTCCTCACGTGTTTATGTGTGCCATGGGGACACATGTGGAAGGACAGCCTCACGTATCCGCCTCATCTTCTGCTTTGAGACAAGGTCTCTTTCTCTACTTTCCCCAGCTTCCAAGAAGTTTCTGGCCCCATCCCAGTTCTCTCGTCTCCAAGTAGAAGGGCTGGGGTTACATGTGTGCAGCTCTGTATGGATTCTGGGGACTTTGGTTTGTTTTGTGTTTTGAGCCAGTGTCATCTCATTATGTATCTCTGGCTGTCCTGGAATTCACAAAGATCCACCTGCCTCTGCCTCTCTGCCTCTGAAATCATGCTCTATCTAAGCCATAAATTGAGCCCAGTGCAGCACATGGCAGGAGTACTATACATTTTCTTTCTTTCTTTCTCTCTCTCTCTCTCTCTCTCCTTTTCTTTTCCTTTTCCTTTTCCTTTTCTTTTTTTTTTTCCAAGACAGGATTTCTCTGCAGCTTTAGAGCCTGTCCTGAAACTAGCTCTTGTAGACCAGGCTGGTCTCGAACTCACAGAGATCTGCCTGCCTCTACCTCCTGAGTGCTGGGATTGAACACGTGCGACACCACTGCCCAGTCTCCAGTACATTTTCTAATTAATGGTCAGACAGATGAAAGCATGGGAGAGCTCCTTGAGGGAAAAGGGTTGCAACTGCCTTACTGACTGGCCGGTAAAATGGGGGTGGGTTTTTGTTTGTTTGTTTGTTTTTGTGCATTGATATTTTGCCTGCATGTATGTTGTCTGAGGGTGTCAAATCTTAGAGATAGTTGTTAGCTACCATGTAGGTGCTGGGAATTGAACCCAGGTCTTCTGGAAGAGCAGTCAGTGCTCTTAACCACTGAGCCATCTCTCCAACCCCAGGGGTTTTGTTGTTGGTTATTTGTGGGAATGGGTGGGGGGGACTGTGCATTTTTGTGGGGTCACATGCATAGAGGCCAACAGTTACATTTCCTCAGGACTTTCCACTTTGGCTTCTTCCTTTTTTTTAAAGACAGAGTTTTGACTGGGCGGTGGTGGCACACGCCTTTAATCCCAGCACTCAGGAGGTAGAGGCAGGCAGATCTCTGTGAGTTCGAGACCAGCCTGGTCTACAAGAGCTTGTTCCAGGACAGGCTCCAAAGCTACAGAGAAACCCTGTCTCAAAAAACAAAAACAAAACAAAACAAAAAAATTCTATCCTGGAACTCACTCTGTAGACCAGGCTGGCCTAAAACTCATGGGGTGTTGGGATTAAAGGCATGTGCCACCACCACCACCCAGCTTCCACTTTGGCTTCTTGTTTGTCTTTCTTAAGCAGTGTTGGGAGTTGGTAAAGCTATTTTAATATAACTCAGAAGATCACACCTGAGTACACAGGCTTCTCAAGAATCACGAAGGTAAAATATGCCAGGCGTGGGTGCTATGCTATCCCCAGAGGGTAGCCTCTGCCTGTTTTTTGTTTGTTTGTTTGTTTTGTTTTGTTTTTAAGCAGGGCCTCTCATACATTTTTTTTTTAATTTCAAATGGGATCTTTCTACGTATCCCCCCTGCTCTAGCCTCCAGAGAACTGGCATTTCGAGGTGTATATCCCCTGCCTAGTTCTCTAGGTGTTTTTGTTTAGAAAATAAAAGCTGAGCCAGATGTAGTGGCACACGCCTTTAATCCCAGCACTCCGGAGGCAGAGGCAGGTGGATCTCTGTGAGCTCAAGGCCAGCCTGGTCTACAAGAGCTAGTTTCAGGACAGCCAAGGTTGCATGGTGAGACCCTGCCTCAAAAAAAAAACAAAACAAAATAAAACAAAAAGAAAGACAGGAAAAGCAGATCGTGGCAAGGTTGGTAGGTGGAAAGCTGGTGGGTCGTCAGTGCGGGGAAAGACAGAGGCGCCTTTAAGGAGTCGCCACCTAGGGGCCAAGAGGAGTAACAGTATTTAGGAGTCTCTATAACAAACGCTGGCACCGGCGCTACCAAGGAGACCCTGAAGTGTCCTTGGCCCGGGTGGGCTGGAATACGTTTGTGATAGACAGGCCTAACTGCCAATCAGAGGAGAGATACCTCTTACAACTTGAGATGGGGCCTGTGAAGCTCAAGTCGCAATTAGGGAGTGACACCAGGAGGACTGTGGGAGCTAGTGGGGTGAGGCGGGGATGTGGGGGTGTGGTGTGTGGTGGGTGCGCACACATGCCAGCAATACCACCAACAGAGAAACTGACTTACGGTGAGGTGAATCAATTAGATTCTTTGAATGGTCAAGAGACTATCCTTGGGATGAGCTGGGGGAGTTCCCAGAACGACTCCTGACAGCCAGTCCCGGGAGAGGAACCTGCCTGCCGCTCCCGGTGTGACCAGCGGGAGCGAGGATCGCACGGTCAGAGGAGCATTGCTGCCACCCGGTGGGGAAAGACGGCTATTTCTCTTGTTCCTCATCTCTGCGCTTCTATCTCTGCTGAGCGCTAAGACCAAGTCTGGAGATGGATGGATGCGGACTCCTGAATCTGGGGACAGAAGGCAAAGGGGAGCCCCAGATAGAAAAATGCACACCCGTGAGAAGCATAGAGCCTCAGCGTACCTCTCTTCCCACTGCACACTGGTTTGCTCCTCCCTCTTAGGGCTTCTGCAAATTACACGAGCCAATCTGCGCAAATTTCTTGGCATTTTAATAAGCGTTCGATAAACAACAGTTGTGGTCGGTTGGTCCAAAGGACAACTGGAGGTGTGTAGCCCACTTCACCTCCCAAATACACCTGCTGTACAAATACATTGTCGCATAGTCCCAGCTAAGTTCTGGGACGCCAGTGACTGCTTGACTTATGTATGCTGAGCAAAAGCTCCACCACTGAGCTACATCCCCAGACCCCCTCCACTGTTGCTATCAGTGCCATCCCCAAGGATGAGGCTCGGGGGTCTCTTCTGCATCAGGAACTGAAGCAGCCCACAGTCAGACTCCCGGAATGTCTCTGGCCTGTGACATCATAGAATCCTCCGCACTTAGAGCAGGGAAGGGGTTATGGAGCTGTGGCAGTGGATGCCCATGTGCGTGTGGATGTGGATGACTGAGCTGGGGGCTGTAGAGACAGGTGGGAAGCTGGGCTCGGGAACGGCAGGAGTGAAGGAGGCTTGAGAATAAGGAGGAATTTAGGCTGTGACCTGGAGGCTGTGACCCTTCCCCTCCCCTTTCATTTTCTTCCCCTCCCTTCCCTCCTTCTCTCCTTTCTTTTTTTTTTCCCCCTCCCTCCCTTCCATTTCATTTTCTTGTTTTCAGACAAAGCTTCACTGTGTAGCCCAGGCTGAACTGGAGCTCACAATACAGCCAAACTGGCACTGACTTGCAGGACCTTTCAGGCTTTGCTTTCCAAGCGATAGATAGGATTAGAACCGGGAGCCAAGGCACTTGGGCAGGCTTTTCTCTTCCGTTCCGCAGCCAGGTGCTGCCCTCCCCGTCTCAGACACGGTGGGCGTCTAATAGGAGCTCACCCAGCCCAGGCAACAAAAGGAGCAGGGCCCTGAGTTTGCCTGGCTTCTCAGGGTAGGCACAGTGGCCTGCTGGACTCATGTCACAGATTTTGCTTTGATTCCTAGCACCCAGGAGAGTTGGCACCGACGCCTCAATACCAGAAGCCAACTCTGGGCTCTTTGTAGACAGGCCTGACTTCTTTGATTACCCAGACTCAGACCAAGCTAGCCTTCTTGCTGTGGCCCAGTTTATTGGAGAGAAACCTGTGACCTTTGTAACAACAGGTACAACTGGCTTGATAGAGGGGCCTGCCTCCCAGCAGGACCTGGGAGAACTCTGCTCTCTCTTGTCTTGCAGGTTCCGGCCCTGGGCTCTTTCAGCACATTCTGGTGGGCGCATTGCTGTTGGCCTTCTTCCTCTTCCTTCTGCAGTTCTGCATGCACGTGTGAGTCCTGTCTCCATGTCCTGCCCTACCCCTTCCTGAGAATTCAGGTCTCCTATGAGCCCTCCCCATTTGATCTCCCTCCACATTCCTCAGGAGCTTCCAGAAAGGGGCCTGAGGAGCCAGACAGGAGCCCCCAACTCTGCTGTGTGCCACACACCTACTGGTCTTCTGTAGAGAAATAAAGGCAGTGCCTCCTTCCTTCCTGACTGCCCCTTATGTGGCCATCTACTCCCCAACCCACCTCCTTCCTTGGCTGCCCAGTGACTCTCTTATGTGGCCATTCACACCTCCCCTTCCTCCCAGGCTGCCCAGGGCTCCTCCCTGTGGCCATCCCTCCCACCCCCATGTCCTCCTTCCTCCCTCTATGGAGTCATCTATCCCCTTACCTCTTCCCTTCTGGGCCCCCAAAAAGCGGACCCGAGAGTCTTGCTGGCGTTCTCGAAGATCATCTTTATTAGCGGTCTGTAAAAGCACCTCCCAGGGTCTGTGACCCCAGACCGGAGGAAGCCGTGAGAGATCTGTAGCACCAGGGACAAGCCAGGGCCCGAGGGCAAAATGTGCAGCCAAGGAAGGGGCTGATGCCCTTGCCTGCCCCCAGGATTGCTCAGCGCTGGGAAGGTTGTAAGGGAGCCACACCTCCCTCCCCCTACCCCAACAAATCGGAGACAGGCGAAAAAATAAATAAGGTTCCTCAGATTGGTCTCCGCAGGAAGGAACTGTAGGGGTCACCTGCCCACTTGGGATGAGTTAGAGTGTCTTCTCTCTCCCAGGTGATAGGGAGCAGGGAGGAATTTGCAGCAGCGGAGCTGGGATGTCCTTAGCAGCGGGGCCACCCCCATGTCCCTTGACTCCTTGGTCCCATTGAGCCCAGCTCTCCAGACCTCAGTACACTGTCTGACACTCCCGCTTCCCTTCCTTCTGTTAGCACAGAGGCCGGAAGAAGCTCTTCATCCCGGTCCGGGTCCCCTCTCTCCCCGCCTTCCACTCCTCCGACCTCAACTCCTGAGGGTATTTAGCTCCTCCCTGTTCTGAGTCCTTCTGTCTTGGGGTTGTCAAGGCAAGGGACTCCTGGCTCTCACCCCCAACCCACTGGCCCCAAAGCCCTGTCTCCGCGGGGCTGGGGAGGAGGGCTCCCAAGCCCCAGCCTCAGTCCTGAGTCTGACAAGGAGAGGGTGGTGGGGAACCTCGGGGTCGGAAGAGGCGGCAGGCCCCGCGGCAAATGAGGAAGAACCAGTACAGCTGGGGTGCGAGGAGCAGCGCGGCTCCCAGGTTGACGTGGGCCGGGATGGCCAGGGGCACTGAGAGCAGGGGCAGGCCGGCATGGCGCCCATAGGCCCAATACAGGTAGGGGAAGAGCAGCACCCGGCAACACAGGAAGCTGAGCAGCATCAGGGCGCCGTTCACCTTGTGCAGCAACGTGTGCTGTTGCTTGTACTGTGGACAGAGCAGCGTGACAGGGCAGGGAGAGCTGTCTCCTTGCCCGTTCCCACAGCGACCTGCCCTCCACGCCGCCTATGGCTCCTCCCACACCCGGCCAGTGCTCTTATTCTTGGTCTTACTTTTTGTTTTGTTTTGTTTTCAAGACAAAGTTTCCCAGTGTAAACACTCCTGGCTGTCCTGAGAACTCACTTTGTAGAGCAGGCTGGCCTCAAACTCACAGCAATCCATCTGCTTCTGCCCCCCGAGTGCTGGGATTAAAGGCATGCACCACTACCATGCCACCCAACCTTAGTCTTGCTATGTAGCCCAGGCTAGTCCCAAATTCATGATCTTCCTGCCTCAGTCTTCCTAGTGCCAGGGCTGTAGGCACACACCTGCATGCTGGGAGGTTGCATGGTCTTTGAAGGATTCCCTAAAGTCCCCAGCCGTGTCCACCCCACGCGCCCTTAGGCCCTCAGATCCACTCTCACCTGGATGAGGATCTTGCCCAGGCAGACGAAGGGTGTGCTCACTTCAGCCATCAACATGCAGCCCAGGAAGAAATCCCCCTTGCCCTGCCGCCACACCTGAGGGAAAAGGCAAGGCCTAAGGAGCTGTGTCTGCATGCCTGGCTCCCGTTACCTTCTGAGACTTGTGTGTGTGTGTGTGTGTGTGTGTGTGTGTGTGTTCATGTGTATGTGCACATGTGTGCAGGCATGCATGTAAAGGCTAGAGTTCTATTTCCTCAATTGCTCTCTATCTTACTGTTTTGAGGCAGGGTCTCTCACCGACCCCGGAGTTCTCTCATTTGGTTGCCCTGGCCAGCGAGCCCCACTTCTCCTGCTTTCACTTACTTCCCCAGAGCTGGGATTAAGCACACACTACCAAGTCCAGCTTTTCAAGAAGACTCAGGCCCTTGTGCTTGAGAGCAATTATTGTATCCTCTCTCGGCCTTATTACCAACCCCTCCTCAATCTCTCTCAGACAGGGTTTCTCTGTATAGCCAGAGACTGTCCCGGAACTCACTCTGTAGACCAGACTGGCCTCAAACTCAGAGATCCGCCTGCCTCTGCCTCCCAAGTGCTGGGATTAAAGGCATGTGCCACCACTGCCCGGCAGCTTTTTCTTTTGTAAAACATGTACCCCAGACCAGCTTCAAACCCACTGTGTAGCCGAGGCAACTTTAAACTTCCTGTCTTCTCACTTCCACTCTCAGGTGTGAGGGTTACAAACGTGCTGTCTGGCCTTACAAAATGCTGGGGATTAAACCCGGGGCTTCACACATGCTACAGAAACACTGTCAGCAGAGCTAACTCCTCTGCTCAGAGAGACATGTCGTCCTGGAATCTGAGCTCTCCGAGGGCACTGCCAAACAGGCAATAGCCTGTTTTACAATCCTTCAGCTTAGGAAGGCTTGTCTCACACCACAGGGGAAGGACAAGCTCCCAGACCTGTAGCCAGTGCTCCAAAGCCCTGCAGGCTGACTTCCGGGAGCTCTTGAGGCTCTGCGTAGAATGCTGCTCAGGAAACCCACCCTAAGTCCCACCGCCCGGGACCTCTGTACGGCAGCGCTGGCATGCTGGGGAGGAGCAGCTTTTCACAACCACCCCTAGGTCTCCTGACTCCAGGAGGGAGGACTCACCACCGAGAGCGGGAAGCACACCAGCACCATGGCAGCATGGTGGAGCACCATGAGGAACTCCTTGTGCAGGTAGCCACGGACCACGGCCCAGGTGCTACCCAGGGCTCTGGGCGTCCCGTCTTCCCCTCCGTGCCCTTTAACCTGGTGTTTGTGCCAATGGCAGAGGAACATGGCATAGATGTCGTAGATGAAGTAAGGAACCGCAAACTGCGTGTAGGCCGAGGATAGCCAGTGCCTGTCGGGTGGAGAAAGAGGAGGGAGCGGACAGGTTGGAGGGGAGCAGTTCCCAGAACAGGATGCTCAATGGGAGTGAGCTAGGACACACGGGGGCTCTCAGAACAACCCCCAAGGCTTGAGTTGCAGAGGCTGGAGTTGGAGGCTGCTAAAGGTGGGAATCCACCACTCAGCTTCTGGGGTTTGGGGCAGACCTACCACGTCTCTGTCTTTCTCTCCAAGGGTCTTTACTTCTCACCCTCCACCCACCCCTGCCTCTGCAGTGTCATAGGGAGAGGAGACCAGACCACTGCAGATGCGGGCAGGTACAAAGATGGCCCCGGTTAGCACTTCCAAGCGCTGTAGAGATCCCGTGGCCCAGCACCAGCTGACACGACAGCTTATCACATGCCAGACTCTACGCCGGTACTTAAATCTTTACACAGCGGCAACTCGCTCACTGCTCGTGAAACACTGTGTCGTGGAGTGGCTAAGTAATGCGGCCAAGGGATAACCACAGAAACCCTTGCCATCAGCCCCACTGTCTCAAGAAGGTTCGAGAAGGGTTGGAGCCCATCCCTAGTGAAGCAGAGGGCCGTCACGGCAGCTAGCCTTAGCTCTGAGGTGGTGTGCCTATTGTTAGTTCAGGTACGGCCAGCAGTAAAGAGAAAATGCTGAGCAAAGATGCCAAGACGAGAAAAAGTTCTACAGACTTTGGAGTAAACAAATACGGGAAGCATAAGAACACGCAACGCTGCGGTTTTTCTCTTGAGTCAGCACTGAGGCTTTCTCAAGGCCAGGAATCCTCAGGCGGGCCTGGGGTGGGGGTGGGAGATAGAAGGAGCAGAGCAAAAGTCAACCCAGCTGGTCACCATACATCAAGTGAGGGTTCTGGTGAGGAGTGGGGAGAATTGAGGGTACAGGCTGACTGGGGATGGGGTGAGCATTAAAAATAGCCCCAGCTTGCCCAGGCTGGCTGGCTTGGAAGCGGGGAGCAGCCCACTCTCAAAAGGACCCACATTGCAATGGTGTGGGGGAATGTAACCCAGAGTCACGTAGGGAGGGCTGGGGAGAGGCTTTGGCTAGAGAGAGCAGAAATACTGGCAGGATCCAACCATGCTCTGAGAAAATTAGGAGCCTGCCTAGGGATGTGCTGGAAGAATGGTCCCATGGGACTCTGGGCTATGGGGGAGCCAGAGGGGCTCAGGATCCTGAGCTGATAAGTGAGGTGTCAGATTCTGTCTCTGCTCTGTCAGCAATTAGATGCTCAGAAGCAAGAACAACTGTTGCCCCGGATTAGCCCTGACCCTCCCACCTACCTGAGGATTAAAGGGGGAACAGGGTCAAGACCAGACTAGGGGATGGAAACGTAAGAGCCAAAAGGTGCCCTCTAGGTGGGAATAGGTGAGGAGGAAATGCCCAGTGCCCAGGCTCCTTTTGGACCTTCTGGCTGCGGAAGGCATTCAGAGAGGGCAAGCGGGAGTCAAGTCACGGAGAAGGATCCTAAGAGCTAAACCCTTGCATCATGGAGCCAAGAACTGTTCTAGGCACTTAGCACACTCAATTCCTCCATGCAGAAGCCCTTCTGGGGAAGGATGTGACCTCACTCTAGGGCTTAGGAGGAGAGAACTCACTCACCGGAAAAAGAGACAAATAGACACCAGAAGGCAGATGGAGACCAGGGTCACCCAGACAATGTCCCCTGAGGCTCAAAGGACACCACAGAAGGGCAGAGGAGCCAGAAAGTACGAGTGAAACTGTCCTGAGCACACAGCAAGCTTGCAGCAGCCCACCACCAGCTAAAATTGGGCGGATCAGCACCACGGACAGGGCCAGTGTTTTCCCCTTCACCCTCCTCCTGCCCCACCTTTCAGGCCTGGACCTTTTTGGCAAGCACCAAACACTGCAGTCGCTGCCAGTGCCAAATTTTGG